TAAAATATCCTTTTCCCAATTCAGTCCACAATCAAAATAGAACACAAAGAAGAGGTTTTCAGGCTAAATGTGAAGAATTAATAATGCAACACACATGCTCATAGATTAGGAACACCACCATTTGCAAATTGCCCTCTAAGTCACACACCAACCTGATTTGGAATTAGATTGCTGTTCTTTCACTGCTTCCGGGTCAAACTCCTGGAATAACTCTATAACAATGTTGGTGTATCTGTCCCCCACAATGCAAAGTTCAAGAAGGCAGCTCACCACCACTTTCTCAAAGGCAATTAAAAATGGGCAATGACTGCTGGCCCAGTCACTGATGACTACATCTGTGAATTAATAAATAATAATTGTCATTGTTATAGTTTAATTGTTTAGTTGCCCGAGCTGGCCTAGAACAATCTTTCTGATCCTTTAAAGTACAATGAATGTGTAAAGCTGCAAACCCAAGACAAAATAAAAAAATACAGAGTTCTGATGAAGGACTGTTCATCTGAAATGTTCACGTAGTTTTTCTATCCAGATATGCCCTCTGACCTTTGCTTTCAACAATTTTGAAAAAACACAGGGTGTTGGCTTTATAGCTTTCTTTTCTGAAATGACTCCAAATACCTGATTAGCCAATCACGCGTTTGTAATTGATACTTGTTGGTCTTTGTGAACTTCATGCTTAGTGACAGTCCCTGAGAAGTCTTGAGAAGCAGCTGTCCATAGTCACAGAGGTAAATCTATTTTGTTCTCTAAATCAATTGTAATCAACAGAGATTCAGGAATGTCAGGATCTTGCTAAAGGCTTATTTTTCTAAAGTCTATGATTGATTGAGACAATGACTTTTAGTCTCTCTTTCTCTTACGGGAACTTGCAAGTGTGAGCGCAGAGAAAATGAAAGATTCACTCAGGTAGTTGCAGCTCTGTACTTAAACAAGTTGAGACAAATCAGAATGACAGTTGTTGTGAATATCAAGTAAGGGATTGAAAAACTGAGATTCATCTAAAATCTAAGGGGATCAGAAAATTTCACTAACTCTGTGTGCCGTAACAAAGTCCTTTATTCGGTAGTATTTTTCCTAAATCAGATGAAATGTCGATGGATTTAAATGAAGAATAGAGGATTTCAATAGTAGGAAGTGCTTTAAAGTTTTTGAGAAGACTTGTAGCTTAGTTTTTGGAAGGGTTTATTGATTTGTTTGCTGAGCTGGTAGGTTGGTTTGCAGATGTTTTGTCACCATGTTTGTTAACATCATCGGTGCGCCTCTGATGGTGCATTGTTGGTCTGTCCCGCTTGTTATTAACGCAGTCCAGTTTGATGTGTGGTTGGCCTCATTTCTGGTTCTGCTTCGCAGTGGTTTGTATATGGGGTCTATTTCCACATGTTTGTTGATGGAGTTCCAGGTTGAGTACCAGGCCTCTAAGAATTCCCGTGCATGTCTCTGGTTGGCTTGATATAGGATGATTACGTTGTCCTATTCGAATTGGTGGCCTTCTTCGGTCGACCAACTATCAATCGTTTCCATACACTTAGGCAAAGAAGGCCACCAATCGACTGGGACAATGTAACCATCCTAGGACAAGCCAACCAAAGATATGCACAGGAATTCCTAGAGGCCTGGTACTCAACCCGGAACTCCATCAACAAACATGTGGAAATAGACCCCAAATACCAATCACTGCGAAGCAGAACTGGAAATGAAGCCAACCACCACATCAAACCGGACCACATGAATAACAAGTGGGACAGACCAACAATACTTCATCAGAAGTGCACTGATGATGCTACCTAGTATGGTGATGAAACATCTGCAAACCAACCTACCGACTTGGCGAACAAATCAACAACCCCATAGGAAGCACTTGATGAACAGGTTAGTTTCATTTTCACTAGAAAGGTTTTCTACGAAGAAATAAAAGGACATGTGTAACTATTATAGGAACAGTGTTCTTTATCCTGATAGCCAGATAAAATGATTTGTTTTAAGAATAAAATCCTAAACTGTTTAGTTTGCAGATGAATATAAAATATGAAGAGATGAGGGGAGCAACTGTTTGTAGTAAATAATGGGTTTTTCTCATACCAGAAGACACATTAAAAGGGCTGTTAAGTGAGCAGGGCAGTGACATCTATAGATAAACTTCTATATGAGCTGAAACACTCACTATTCCTTTGTAGAAGTTAAACCTTCATTATGTCCAAGCAAAGGACCGTACGCCTGGAATGTGGGAAACCCAACCGGGTAATTTATGTGGTGGGAACTGTGCTCAACATCGACATTTACAAGTAAGTTGTAAAACTGATTTGATTTTTCTTTTAGTAAATTAGTTGACCCTTATACGTATGTTTGCTGCTCCACAAACATCATTATGCAAATACTAGGCTTCTGAATTCTGAACTCTAAGGCACTTGAGCAAGGGTAACGCTCCCACTTGTGGTCTCATTTTCCCTCCTCACTTGGTTTATTTATGTCTTTGAACTGCTACTTGAGGTTGAATTTTGACATGATTCATAGTGCAGACTGAATATTTCAAAAGTAGACGGGCCAGGCGTCTCTTGCCAATCATGTAAAAGTTTTGTTCATCATGTACTGCTGACACATTTACCCATGTTTAAACATGAATATTCCAATGTTCTTTTCTGGCTAGTTACCTGTTTTACACCTTTATAAATGATAGCTTATTCAAAACTCCAACATCTCTATCTTAACTTGACTACATTTGTTCACTGATCACCCCTGTATTAATTGATCTAAATTGACTCCCAGTGCTGCAAAATTTCATTTAAAAATTCTCATTCATGTTTTCCAATCCTTTTTGTAGCCTCATCCCTCCCAATTTCTATAAACTCCTCAAGTCCCAAAATACTCCAAGGCATCTGCACTCTTTGAATTCTGGCCTTATCTCTATTCCTGATTTTAATTGATACACAATTGGCAGCTGGGTCTTCATCTGATGAAGCCCCAGTCTCTGGCCAAGCCTCTCCATATGGAAGGCAGGCACTGACTTGTCATTAGAGAAAAAATGTAAATCCTTTCTCTCTTTTTGCAATCCAAAATGGTTGCTGTACCTGTCCAAAAGACAGCCAAACATGCACATGCAAAAATTGCCATAATTAACATGGTTTAAAACAGCATCATACATGTTGATTGGCACAATAATGAGGTACATGTATAAGGAATATATGAATTTGTGGGGCACCCAGCTCTTCGGTCATAGCTGATCTGATTATTGAGGTTGTAGATTTGCTTGCCGAGCCGGTGTGTTTGATTGCAGATGTTTTGTCACCCTGCTGGATAACGTCTCTGGTGAAGCACTGATGTTCTGTCCTGCTTGTTATTTATATGCCTCGGTTTGCTGGGGTGGTTGGCATCAATTTCGGTTTTGTTTTTCAGTGGTTTGTGTATCGGGTACAGTTCAATGTGTTTCCAGTTGAAACCAGAGTTTGGGTTGCATAGTGTGGAGTGCTGTCCATTCTAACCTTTGCATTACTGTTTCTGCAATCAGACCACAACAAGAAGATACAACACAGCCAGACACACTAGTCACCCTACCATACATCAGAGACATATCAGAAATGACCACAAGACTACTCAGACCCCTAGGTACCAGTGTAGCCCACAACCAACAACCACCCTGCGACAGCTACTGATGAACGTAAAGGATCCCATACCCACAATCAATAAAACTAACATAATATACAAAATACCATGCAAGGACTGTGAGAAGCACTACATAGGCCAAACTGGAAGAAAACTGACATTAAGGATACACGAACACCAACCAGCCACCTGAGACATGACCAATTCTCACTGGTCTCAAAACACTTGGAAAAAGAAGGACACAAATTTAGATGGAACAAAACATCCATAATAGCACAAGCCAAACAGAGACATGCCAGGGAATTCCTGGAGGCCTGGCATTCCAACTGGAACTCCATCAACAAACACATTGAACTGGACATGATATACAAACCACTGAAAAACAGAACCGGAAGTGATGCCAACCACCCCAGCAAGCTGAGGCATATAAGCAGGACAGAGCATCAATGCTTCACCGGAGGCGCACTGACAATGTTACCTAGCAGGGTGACGAAACGTCTGCAATCAAACATACGGCTCGGCGAGCAAGTCTACAACCTCATCCACAACCTGAGCTACAAATCTTCTCAAAAACTTTGATCTGATTATTCCACATTCCTGCCTATCACTGATGACTATTCACCCACTAAGGATCTACCTACCTCTACCTTAAAATTATTTAGACTCTCCTTTAACTGCCCTTTGAGGAAAAGTTCCGAAGACCCATTGTGAGGGTGGTTTGCCTTC